TTATCTTTTACTATTAGAAAAAATTTATACTATAGTTAGGGATATATATCGTCTGCTGTTTGCTGTTACTGGAATGCATTTTATTTATTATTCAATTATAGTAAAATCAATCAGAAATTTTTTTAACAGAGAAATCTTGTTTTATTAAATAATAATCAATTAATTTAAATAACTATCAATCTTGGTATAGGCTGCAACGAATAAATCCAAGGATATATGTAAATCAGTCAATACGAGCCAACACAAGTTAGGTGTGTGCGAAATCGTATACTTTATTCTTGAGAAAAATTGACAAACGTTTCAACCCTTTCGATTGGGTCTTCCTCAATGTAAAAATAAAATCGGTGACGTATAAATTTAATATAAAAGATGCGATGCGAAGCAATTTGAAGTATCGTTAACATATATTCATAATAATGCTGTCTGTCATATCTAACAAAATACTCAAATCTAATATTTCAGATTATGTATAATAATGTTAACGATGATATGTGAGACAAGACATGTTAGCACAAAGATGTTCAGAGAGTATGTGTGAACGTCTTTGTGCTAACATGTCTCATCTCACATATCATCGTTAACATTATTATGCATAATTCGAAATATTAGATTTGAGTATTTTGTTAGATATGACAGACAGCATTATTATGAATATATGTTAACGATACTTCTCTCAAATTGCTTCGCATCGCATCTTTTATATTAAATTTATACGTCACCGATTTTATTTTTACACTGAAGAAGACCCAATCGAAATTGTTGAAACGTTTGTCAATTTTTCTCAAGAATAAAGTATACGATTTCACACACGCCTAACCTGTGTTGGCTCGCATTGGCTGATTTACATCTATCTTTAAACTTAAATAAAATATTTTGTTTATGTTTAATTTAAAAAGCTTATTATTTATTTATTAACATTTACGTGTTAACTTTTTTATTGATATTAAAAGATGATGTTTATTTCAAATTATATATTTTGTGATTTGTTTAGGTACTGGTAGGAGAAACAGCATATCCAGGTCTCCGCGGTTTCCTGGTGGTTGGTTCGTTCGGTGCATACTGCGCCGGAATCTTGCTCGTTTATGCTCTCGGCGCTTGTTTTAATTGGGACATGGTGGCCTTCTATGCTATCATACTTCCCATTGCAGCTTTTATTGCTCTTTGTTTGATTCCTGAAAGTCCTGCCTGGCTTATCAGACGGAAAAAAATAGACAAAGCCAAGAAAGCTCTTTTGTGGCTTAGAGGCGGCAATACTGAACAGGTAGGAATTTATAATTCCCTCATTTCAACAGTACAAGAAATTTTTTAGCTAAATTGTGAAACTGATATAACAAAATGTATATATAATTAAAACTGTTTTAATTAATCAGGTGCTTGCGGAGATAGAGCTCCTAGACACAAGCATAAAAGCCGATCTTGCTAGGAAGCCTGTAAATACTTCGTTTACAAAGAGGATCTCCTCTGCAATGTCCACAATTCGTGATCCGGGCGTGTTGAAACCATTGATTATTATCAACGTATTCAATGCGCTTCAATTAAGCAGCGGAACGTACATTATTGTCTTCTATGCCGTTGATATGGTCAAGGACATAGGTGAGAAAGAATTATGTAATATTATTTAGGCGAAACTTTAATTTCCATCTGCGCATAAAAGCTTTGAGTGGAAATATTTAAAGTAAATAAGATAACAGAAAAAAGTATGGAAATTATTATGCCGTTTTTTGTAGGCAATGGCAACGTTGATAGTTATTTGGCGGCCGTGGTGACGGCAATTATCAGGTTTATATTCTCCCTCGTTTCCTGTGTTTTGTTACTTAAAATGGGTAGACGAGCTTTAGGTATCGCTTCAGCACTTGGCACGTCCTTGGCCTCGTTAATTCTAGCGGGATATTTGATTGCCAGAAAGGAGGGATCTTCCGTGGATGTGAGTATTTGTTCCCAATTAGTCTCATTTTTCGGTTTATTCAAGTGTAAATTAAACAAATGATTTCAGGTCTACGTGTTGGCTGTATGTTTGTTGTTTTATGTCGGTGCGAATACCTTGGGTCTACTAATACTTCCTGGCCTGATGATCGGTGAATTGATGCCTCTGAGAGCTCGTGGCATCGGTGGCGGCTGTATCTTTTTTATCTTCAATCTACTTCTGTTCTTTATGACCAAATATTTTCCAATGGTAATACATCGCATTCTAAAATTTAAAACTTTATTATACAGCACTCCTTTTGTACGTGAGATAAAAATTTTAATAAGAATATATTTGTTTATTTGTTTTAAGTACAAACAACAGACTTGGGAAAGTTACTTTATAAAAGTAACTCATTACCATTATCGTTCTTTTTTTAAAGTACCTCGTTATCCTTACTTGATAAAAAAGCATTTTTATCTTTTTGCTACTCGTCATCATTACCATTAAAAAAATTAACAAGTCATTACTTCGTTACTTTTTTATTTTGATAAATTTTTCTTTAGAGTGGCATCCAATTGTCTATGTTGCTAATTAACGAGTTCAATATGAGACTCAAATAAAACATAAGTCATTATGATATCCAAATAATGTCAAAATGACTCCAAAATGATTATTAAAAGTCAAAATAACGATTCATTTTAACGTGATTTTGATATTATAATTTGTTGTTCTGTTTGAGCAATCTACAGTAATTATGATTAATCGCAACTTGGTCTAAAAATTTGCTTATGTATGTTACGTACATATGTATACATGTACAAAGTAACAATAAAAGTAATGATTATATTAAAAGCGTAACTTTTACGAATGGATAACGACATTATATTTCCTTATTTTTAACGTAATGATAATTGCACAATAGTTATTGAAAAAAGTAGTAATTGTAATAACGACAATTAAATAACTTCTTGATCTTGCAAATATATATGCGTAAACAAAATAATGTGAATCTCTGAGAAATATAATATACTATCTATTTGTTTTATTAATAAGAAGTTGGCCCATTATTTGTTTTTAATAACAGGTTCTATCTTTGTTGAAATAGAATCATAGTTAAATGATGTAATAGTTGTTACAGTACAATATTATTTCACTGGTAGAACATTTTCTAGAAGTACATTGCTTAAAAGAAAATTGTAGAAGAAAATCTGTTTCTCACTTTGTTCAAAATTACAAATGATATTTATAATAAATCAAGTGATTGAATTAGTCGGAAAAGATGTTGAAGGTTTGGAGAACAAATAAAGACAATTGAGAAAAATAGAATGAGAAGAAAATTTTCTTTTTCAATATTTATATAAGCAATTGAAAAATATTCTACTAAAAAAATAGACATTCTACTGATATTCAAGCTTTGAGTAACCATTCCAACAAGGATACAATATAAAAGCAAATAATAAGTCAATTTTTTATTGATAAAACAAGTGATAAAATAAATAGAATATTTTAAAAGTGTTTATATTATTTTGTCTATTCTCTATATATATATATATATAACTACATATTTTTTTCTGTTGTTAATATAATATATAATGATACATTAAATATTTTAAAGATAAACAGTCTAGTTGGCACAACGGGAATCTTCACTATCTTCGGCATCTGCTCTTTTTTGGAAGCAATTTTTATTTATCTTGCTCTACCAGAAACGAAGGATCGCACGCTTCAACAAATTGAAGAATACTTTCAAGTAAGAAAATTTAATTGAGAAATGAAACAAATTATTATTAATAGCTACAGTATGATAAATATATAATTGTATATTTACAGCAAAGTAACTTTCTATGGATAACCAGAACAAAGACGAAAAGAGAGAACACAGATGTGCTTACAAAAGCTGAATCTAATTGTTTAATCCCTTTATCTGAGTGTAAATAAGAATAAAACGTAATTAGGATTTATGTATGACTGCGATAATATTTAATATTAGATGTAATTGTATATATTTTTATTATTTTGAGATATTTAAGAATATCGCGTGACGTGCGGGAATATGTGCGGTTAGATATATAAGTTAACAAATTTTATTTAAACTTTATGATTAACATTTGAATAAAACAAAACTTTTGATAAGAGATTTTTTATTCCATTGTAATTATTTAATAAAATAAACGTATTTCTTTAGACAATAAAAAACGACAGATAATATATATACCGATTTATTGTTTTATCATTGACTATATTCGCCTATCTTTTTACACGTTAATTGATAATTTTTTTGATTGATTATTTTTTAATAATTTTGCAAGAGATTAGCAATCACAATACTGTTTTGTATTGAAAGATATAATTGATAATTTTTAATCATCTTTTTGATCACATTATCGCGTAAAAAAATTATAACCGTTTAATGATAATTATATATGCCTTGTAAAAAATGATGAATTTTGTTATTATACATCTTCGTTCTTTTTTAATAAAATATTTTGTAAGCTAAGTATTTATATATACATGCAAAACTTACTATATATTTTGTATTGTAATATGTTATATTATATTTCTATACTCTCTCTTATTTTATATACACATTGTACGTTTTATTATATTGTATTTTATAATTTTATATTGTATATTTTATTATGATATTAAATTATATTCTGTATAAAATAATAAATTAAGAAGTATAAAATGCAAAGAATATCGAATATAATTGGTGGGGATGATAGAAGGCCTTGTAATTTAATCTGTTTTAGTCCGAATTAAATTTTATTTGAATTTCTTTTACGTTTATTTTTACAGATATGATTTTGGGAACAATGTTTATTATAATCTATCGTTATTCGATTATCGTATGTAATACTTTGAACACACGTTGACACTGGAATAAAATTATTATCTTTTCGAATGTCTTTCTCTTTTTGTATATGTTACATATATAGAGATATCTATAATCGCTATATAACGTTTTTTTTATATTTATTAATGTATTTTTTAAATTTATGTTTCAATATATCCTTCTTCGATATATTACTTATAGTTATATTTTAAATATATAGTTGACAGGATTATTAATTTTATAACATTTATATCTCGTAAAAATAAAAAATGAAAATTATTAATGACTTAATAAATTAATAAAACAAAAAAGGAGAACTATAACATTGTCAACTTTACATCCTTTTTCGTTCTCTATAGAATAAATCTCCTTTTTATGGATTCCTAACGTGACAACTGTATCATATTTGGCATAATCTCTATTACTGTGCATGATGTATATCATGAATTGTTTATCTGGATTAAGAAAGATATGTCTTCAAACTACACTGTACCTAGAATGATCACAAAATGAATAACTGATTGACATTACGGACTGCTAAAATTGTGCGATAATGAACTATGACAGTTATCTCCTTTAAGCGTGAGGTTTGCGGAATTTCTCTCCAGCGTATTTCGCGGCTGCTCCAAGTTCTTCCTCGATACGCAAGATCTGATTGTACTTGGCCAAACGTTCCGAACGGCAGGGTGCGCCCGTCTTAATTTGGCCAGTCGAAAGACCAACGACCAAGTCAGCAATAAACGTATCCTCCGTTTCTCCAGAACGATGAGAGACCATAGTACCCCAACCGTTACTCTTGGCAAGATTATGAGCGTTGATGGATTCGGTCACGCTACCGATTTGATTGACTTTTAACAATAAACAGTTGCAAGCTTTCTTCTCAATAGCCGTCTTAATTCTGTAAAGTAACGCATACAATAAACATACAATAAAGTTTAATTTAATTTTTTTTACACGAGCAAGTTTAATTTAAAATGGCAACAGCAGATAAAGCTTTTATTTTATATGTTACCTCTCGGGATTTGTGACGGTAAGATCGTCACCAACAATTTGAATGGGAGTAGCCGCGGTCATAGATGTCCAAGAATCCCAGCCATCCTGGTCAAAGGGATCCTCAATCGATACAATCGGGAATTCTTTGACAAATTCCAAGTACAAATTCTTCAGCGCTTCTGGTTCCAGATATGTGCTTGGATCAGAGTTCTCATTCTTGAAATCCAAGTCATACTTCCCATTTTTATGGAATTCAGAAGCAGCAACGTCCATGCCGATCTTGATCTTTCCTTCATAACCAGCGGTCTACATATTGAGAACAAAATTATTGCAAGATATCGTTTATTATAAAATAACAAATGCATTTGAGTTATAAATCTCTTAGTTTACCTTAATAGCATTCATGATCAAATTAAGAGCTTCCTTGTTTTCCAAAATGTTTGGTGCAAAACCACCCTCGTCACCGACTGCCGTGGCATCGAGGCCGAATTTCTTCTTGATACCTGCCTTCAAGTGGTGGTAGACTTCACTGCCCATTTTCATCGCTTCTGTGAAGTTGGACGCACCAGTAGGCAAGATCATAAACTCTTGCATAGCCAGCTTGTTTCCAGCATGAGAACCTCCGTTAATAACATTGAATGCTGGTACTGGCAAGATTATGTCATTATTACCAGCCAACTCAGCAATATGTCTGTAAGATAAATATGTATATTTATATATTTAAATGTTTTTTATCTTTACAAGAAAAATACGTAGGAAAATAATTTTACTTTATGAAAGAACAGTTTTATCTCGAAACATAAAAGTGCAGATTTTTTAAAAATATATTAAACTTTTATAAAATATTACATAAAAATATTTATTACACACACTAAAGATAATTACTTACAATTACTTTAAAATTATAGCGTTTCGAAAAAATAAAACCTTTTTAAAAGAAAATAAAAAAATAAAAATCTACAAAAAAAGTCCATAGCATACTATATTTTAATTTCTTTATAATTTATATAAAGTCATTTTCTCTTTATATAAAAATAATTAATTTATATGAGCTATATTTACTTATACAAAGGCAAGCCCTTTTTCTGAGCGCCAGCCTTGCAAACTGCTAAAGAGACACCCAAAATTGCATTTGCTCCAAGTTTGGACTTATTTGGTGTGCCATCCAGCTTCAGCATGAAATTATCGATATCCGTTTGCTGTGTAACTTCTAGGTTGGCCTTAAAAATATCAAATTTGTCAAACGTTTTCATGTTTTCAGTGTTAAATATTATGTAATAAATATTCGATATTTGTATAGAAATACCTTCAATAATTCAGGAGCAATGATGGAATTTACGTTTTCTATAGCTTTAAAAACCGACTTTCCATGATATTTTGATTTATCATTATCTCTCAATTCCAAGGCTTCGTGGACACCAGTAGAGGCACCGGATGGTACTGCTGCTCGGAAAAGTCCAAGCTCGGTGACAAGATCGACCTAAAAAAACAAATAATATTAGTAAAAAAATATTCAATAAGACATTACATTTTCAAGATTCAATAAGTTACCTCTACTGTAGGGTTTCCACGGGAATCGTAGATTTGACGGGCTTTAATGCTTTTAATAGGCATTTTGACACAATTGCTTGTTGATGTAAAGAGTCTTGTTGAGATTAAAGAACTACAATATAAAACAACGCAAGAAAATTATGAAACGTATCGATTCTTTAAGAATCTTAAAAGAATGAAAAATCGTTTGTAAAAATCCATGTCTATTTCTCACATTAGAATCTTTGTATTACAAAATTATTGTAATATTATACTATGCTGTTGTCCAAAGCATTTTCGCTAAAGATATAATCTTTTTAATTTACAATTATCTGATAATTTTTGGATAATTGGATCGTAATACGATCAATTGTTTGATGTTACTAACAAATTGTAACAACTTATGATAAAAAGATATAATAAATTCAAGTGAAATTAAATAAGCGATCACAATTTTTAAATAAAGAAAACAATTATTAATCAAGAATAATGCAGCAAAGTGTACCTAAGATATAGGAAGTGACATTAAGTTATAATATAATTAAGAAAACAATTACATAAATTGTGGATCTTTCGGAAATCTAAAAATTAACGTCAAATTATTGACAGTATAAACGCTAAATATCGATAAATCACGGATATTTGTCAAGTCGCATATCGACCTTGTCAAGGTCATTCCCTATTTGTTCAATATCGAAGAAAACCGATGTACAACACAAGGAATGTCTAATTTATATTAAAAATAATTATACGTCAAAAAATCACGACATTAACGAAATCACAATTGTTAACGACCTTATGCTAATGAAGTTCCGATACGAGACGATGAAACCGGCATGTAACACCATTTTCTGAAAGTGTTCAGTCGTGCAAGGAAAGACAAGTACATTTCAAAAAACGCGATTTCAATCCGCAAAATAAACTTTAATTTTTCTGACACGCTAGACGTTGCTCCGAATATGCTCACCTAACGTGACGTGTGACAGTTTGCACGAAACGTTTGACGAGGAATGAGGCTTGACCTAACCGACGACCTCCTCAGTCGGCTCAATTGTGATGCAAGCAGAGAGATATCGATTGCAAGATGTACGCGAGATGTTAGGTTAATGCAGAGAGAAACCTGAGAGAGGATATGCTGGCCCTGTAACCACAAAATGCTGCCGCGCACTACTGCCTTCTGACAATGTCGATGTAAACTATATAGCTCTGAGGGTAAAGCTGCAAACACAATAGACACAGGCAATAGGCACAGGCAACAGGGAATAACGAGCCGTCCAATCAGATCTTTGGGGTATAAGTTTGATATTATATCCCAGAGCTCTGATTGGACGGCTCGTTATTCCCTGTTGCCTATGCCTATTGCCTGTGTCTATCGTGTTTCCAGCTTAATACTTCCACTTTTCTGAGAGTAATACATCCACTTTTCAACTCCAGATGATAAATCGATATTTGGTTCATATAATCGCGCCACATTCACAAATTGTGCATCTGAAATATTCATCTCTGCAATCTTAAGGCCGCAGCACAGACTTTTGCATAACGCATAGGCGAATCAACTAATCAGAATCTTTCCTTTCCTCCCATTCCATGGAAGAGAAGAATTTTGATTGGTTGATTCCCTTTATGCACTAGGCATTATGCGTTATGCAAGAGTCTGTGCTGCGGCTATTACATGCGCATAATGTTTATTTAGCTTAATGGCTGTTCTATAATGTGCTTTTTGTTTCCCGTTTCTTGTTGTTTGTCTCTTGTCTCCTTGATCAAAAAGACAAGAGACAAACAAAGACAAACAGCAAGAAACAGGAAATAAAAAGCACATTGTAGAACAGCCATAAAAGTATTAACATTTAAGATATATTATATTTTTACAAATGTGTTAATATTTATATTTTAAATAAGCTATATACATATGAATTAAGTTGTATTTCAAGCATTTAATTTTTATTAAACACATTTTTATAATTTATTTACTTTATTTGTTATTATTTTCTTATTACAATACTAAAATTTGAAAAGCATATAATGACAAAATTAATCTAAACTTTTTTCGTATAAGTACTTTAAGTATTTAAAATGCAATTATATAAGTTTCGTTGCGACGCAAAAATTAGGTGTTTAATAAAATAAGGAAACAATATATTTTGTTAACAATAACATAAATTAAAAGAATATTCGAGCCGATGAGCCAAGCTAGTTAACTATAATATGCTATAATTTTTATGCAAATTTTTAGCCCGTTTTTACCCAACATAATTACTAGTATGCAAATATATTCCAAAGTCTCTATAATCACTAATCATTAGCAATTATAGTCTTCGAATAGACTTCAAACTTTTCAATCACATATCGTTAAATTAAGATTTAATTTAGCAAAAACGAGCTAGAGCCCCTCCACCACCCCCGCCGATTTTATCGGCAG